TTGCACCACAAACGCAGTAGTCATCCTTACCTTTCACAGAGGCACTGAGTTTTACAAATAGGAGCATGATAGTGTAGAATAATCATATCCAAGGAGCAGTGGTGGGTTTCAAAATTTTTTGGAACCTCTTCTGTAGGGGTGGCCTGCTTTCCCGGTCCACTGGTGGAACCTCTTCTAACCGGTTCGGTAGATTTGACGAACCGGTTCTACCGAATAGGTGTGAACTGGTAGGAACCCACCTCTGAACCACTCCTTCTCCAGATGCAGAAATACCCTGACCTTGACTTAAAAGAAGAATGCTATGTTATCTAACTATATCTCGTCCACTAAATTCCCCCTCCTGCCACTAGTGGCCACTAGGGTGAATACATTTTAGGTACCTGAGAGGCTCCTGCAATCACAGGGATGTGATTTATGACTTTCCTGCCAGAAACCTCGACTTATGTTTCATTTAGTGACCATTCCAAGTTACAACAGCACTGAAAAAAGTGACATGACCTCCTTTTTTTCACACCTAGCCAATAATCTATCATTCTATTAATGAGGGTGTCCTTAGGAAAGGCCTTGGCAGATGCTTTCCTAAGGTCAAGATATACTGCATCTACAGCATTCCACCAATCTATTAAACTACAGTAGAGGTTGGTATCTAGCAGTTCAGATCGGTTCGCCCGAACCGGTAGCGGAAATCGTGGGTGCCTCCCCCCTCCCAGCTTCATGGCATCCCATTTAGGCCCTTTTATAGCAAAAAGTGCATGCGTGGAAGGCTTAGCGCATGCACGGAGGTGGTGTGCGCAAGTGAAGCGTCTCATGTTTGCGAACCAGTATAGAAGGGAAGTAAATGCGACCCCTGAGCTACAAGTATACAAGAATTTACTTAGTGACTGATTGAAGTTACAATGGCTCTGAAAAAAAATGGCTTATGACCATTTTTCACACGTACGACAATTGTAGCGTCTCCATGGTCACATGATCAAAATTAAGATGCCTGGGGACTGACTCCTATTTATGATGGTTGCAGTATCCTGGAGTCATGAAGGTCCCTTTTTTAACCTTTCGGCAAGCAAAGTCAATGGGGAAGCCAGATTCACTTAACAACCGTGGCAAGAAAAAGTTGTAAAATGGGGCAAAATGCACGTAACAGACTTCTCACTTCAGCAACATAAATTTTGGGCTTAATAGTTGTCGTAAGTTGAGGATTACCTGTATTTCTAGTTTCCAGCCCCACACAGAGACAAAAATGCCCATTGTGACAGTGGTTTGCTTAACGACCATTGTGTTCGTTTAACAACAGTCACAAAAATTATTATAAAATTGGATTGGTCCCATGAGTGCCTTGACTTAAAACCATTGTGATATACAACAGAAATTGTGGGTTCCGTTGCAGTCATAGTTGAGGGCTTCTTGTACCGCAGGGAAGATATTTTTAAGACACACAGCTATATGTTGGCCATTATATGGATCAGCTGAAAAGTTTCCACTAATGGTCTCTACTGTCAGTGATGTTATGATCCTGATTAAGTCTCAGAGCACCTATTCAGAAGTACATCTTCATTGGGTACAATAGATTTGAACCAGAGCAACCTACAACATTCTTCTATTTTTACATCCCTCTTCTGTGCTCTTTCTTTCGATTTTGCAACCAAGGGTTAAACAATAATATTTTCATGTCTGAACAGCGGCTAATGCTCTGTTTAAGCTAGTTGAGAAATCTGGAAGCCAGATTCACTTAACAACTCTGTTACTAATTTAACAACTGCAGTGATTCACTATAACCAAGGTGGCAAGAAAAGTCGTAAAACGGGGCAAAATGCACTTAGCAGACTTCTCACTTAGCAACATAAATTCTGGGATCAATTCTGGTCGTAAGTCGAGGACTACCTGTACACCGATCCCAAGTACAGGTTAAGGAAATAATTTCTCAACTTTGATAACTTTAAGATGCCGGCTGGCAGGGGCATTGTGGGAGTTGAAATCCCTACATCTTAAAGTTCCCAAGATTGAGAAACGCTGCTCTTAAAATTCTGCTAATTTTGAGTTACCGCGACTTGCTAAAGCAAGTTCATTTTAACTTGCTGTCATCCACCCTTCAAGTCAAGGAATAGGCACCCCAAAAATTACAGGTACACTTTTTGGTGAAGGGTATAACAAAAGAAACTGGAATCCTGCCAGATTTTTCTCCAGTCGGCCTTGGGCTTATACTGTGCAAAATCAAAGGAGAATTATTTTGAGTTCTCTTTCTCACGCTTTCTCTTGTCCCGGATTGAGCTGTCATTTATTTTTTTTCTTTCTTTTATTGTGTAGGAAGTTAGCATCCACCCCTCTCCTAGAAAAAGGAAACATTTAAGGAAATATTAAAGGGCAGAATATTTCCTCTAAAAGGGAGGCAGAACCACCACCTTTGTCAATGGGCCATTAAGGCCTGGGCCAGCCTATTCTACATAACAAAGATCTACCTCTTTTGAGCAGAGCCATAGTAGGAATTGCCCAAAGCTCTTTCATTACGTCATCACCCAGCAAGGCTCAACCAAGCCTGGGACACAGACCACCTACAAAGTTACCCCTGCATGGCCCCAGGGGAGACTGACAACCAATCAAAATACAAGCTCAAATTCAAAAGCCCAGAGAGTGAATAAAACCCAGGCAACTCTGAGCATCTGGCCCAGGACAAAAAAAACCATGTGATCCTGTCCACCATTAAAACCATCTTTCCAAGCAGCCTCCATGTTTCCAGTGTCTTTTCCCCCACTTGGACTTGAATCCAGACTGACATTTCTTCCAACAATTATCTTTTTAATAGTTCTCTAATGGCCCTCGTGTTCCTTTGCCTATATCAGTGTTTCTCAACCTTAGCAACTTGAAGATGTCCGGACTTCNGGGGAGAACCAGCATTTACTTTTGGTTTTCAGAAAACAATGCCCAATAATGAACAATGGGTTTGCTTAATCACCATGGCGCTTGCCTAGTGATAACCACAAAAATGGTCATAAAAATCAAGTGCGGTCACGTGATGATCTGCTTTTCAACCATCGCAGCTTATTACTGAAATCGCAGGCTAAATTTCTGCATTAGATAGAAATTCATGCAATTTGTAAAAGCCAAAAAACCCATGATGAACATACTGCTCCTGTGCCAAAATTCCATCATCTTCCTTGACTCTGCAACTAGCTTTGCGAATGGCAGATCCACCGGGTTGATCTTGGATAGTGGAGCAACACACACCACTGCAATTCCAGTCCACGACGGGTACGTGCTTCAGCAAGGTGAGAAGTCTCCCAGCATGATCTGAGCTAGACTCGACACGCATAAATGACAGGGTTGATTTGTACCAAACAAAATGAATTACAAATAAAATGTGAGGTCTGGAAGCCATCTTTTGCATTGGGCCTTCCACTTTGCCGCATTCAATGCTGTGGGAAAATGGGAGAGGGGATTATATGGGGTCTGGGGGATATATAGTCAAAATAATATTTCTTTCTCAGAGAGTCAAGGGCATCTTGCCTTGACTCTGGAGTGGTGTGACTGGGAGGCATATCCAGTGGGGATGGTGCCTGATTGGACCATGTGAGGGATATGTCAGTGCTGGGCAGGGACTTGAACTTTCTTTTGGTGGGGAAAACCTGGGAGACTCTCAGATTCGGATTTTCCCAGATGTGCCAATATGACATCTCTAATAAAATGGAACTTTGAGGAACGTCAAGCCTTCTTTTGTTGGGAGTGTCACTTGAAACCTTGACATAAAAGTTGTTTCTGTAAAGCATCATGATGGCCAGTAGTAGAGAGAATTTTTAATGGTCATGAGAGGATGTTCTGGATAATAGCCCCTCATTTGGAAATTAGTTATTTCCAAATTTAATGGATGTATTTATAATATGTACAATATATGAGAACCAGTTTGGTTGAGTGGTTAAGGCACCAGACTGGAAAGCAAGGGATTGTGAGTTCACGTCCTGCCTTAAGCCATGAAAGCCAGCTGGGTGATCTTGGGCCAGTCATTCTCAGTTGAATTCACCTCACAGAGTTGTTGTTGCAGAGAAAATAGGAAGAAGATGCGTTCAATATGTTTGCTGCCTTGAATTATTTGTAAAAATAAAGGTGGTATATAAAAATAAACAAAAATGTGTATATGTCCAGATAGCTGGGGTCCATTTTCAAAACAACTCTGGTATTTGAAAAAGATGTAGATTCAGAGAGTTGTCTTCCTTCCACACTAGCTGCTTTGCAAAGCATCTCTTTCAATGTATTGCAAAGCACTAATCTATTAGAAGAATAAGAAGTAGTTAGAATGTAGCAAAATAAAACTAAAAGAAAAGCTAACTTTGCAATCCTCTTATCCAATGACTGAAAGAATGGAAGTTAGATAATGTAACCTTCTCTGCTAATAATCAGCATATGTAAGTCATAGGTGCTGAGGACAAATAGCAGTAAGAAGGCTGGATTAGATAGTTTTGCTGGTGATATTGAGGGCCATATTGGACTATAATTTCTGTTCCAAAGGGAATCAGGAATAATGCAGGAAATCATTTTATAGCACTTCTAGAAGCCCAGCCAAATGTAATGAATATATGAGACACCAAAAGTTCCCCATAAGTTTTATCTCGAAAGACGGATATTTGGCTTTTATAAAAAGAGATTTCATCATTTTTCCTTTTGCTCTTGTGGAGCAAAATACAGCTTCTGGCAACTCAGTGGCCCATGTAGACATAAAAGCTGGTTAGTTTGGTGTTAGGAAACACGAATTTGTCCGCAAAACAAGTTTCTGTGTAAAATGTGAGTAGTGGCAGAGCATTAAATCTTTTGATTCCATTCCTGCCTTGCATTTAGGCATTGTGAAGTCACCTCTGGCTGGAGATTTCATTTCAATGCAGTGCAGGGAACTGTTTCAAGAAATGAACGTTGAGATCATCCCACCTTATATGATTGCATCGAAGGTAAGATCCTGTGTTGGATGGAATAAAAGAAAGCTGCACATTCTTGTAAATGTGAATCCAAAAGCTGCTTTTTCATTAACAAAATCTCTGGTTTAACAATAGTTTCTCCAACATTAAATTCCATCAGGATTGGCCTTGGATTTAAATACAGTTTAGAGTCATACATAGAGGATGCACATTGAAAAAAAGAGTTTTGATTCCCCATGTACTTCACTATTCCGAGAAAGAGGTTGGATTTGCACATTTAACACCAGGAACCTGTAGTGCTCCATTTCAGCGCCAGACTCCATTATCCAGTATCTTTTAACTTTGGTCATGGATGCTGGGAGTTGTAGTTAAGCCAGTTGAAGCACCCATAGTTTGTCTTTGTCATAAACCATTCCACAGTTCATGCATGAAGCATGAATTCAGTTAATAAGATGTTATTGTGCTAGACACAAGAACAGTTTTTCCCTGAATGCCATCACTCTGCTAAACAAATAATTCCCTCAACATTGTCAAACTATTTACCAAGTCTGCATTACTATTACTATTACTATTAATCTTCTCATAGTTCCTATCACCCATCTCCTCCCACTTATGACTGCATGATTGTAACTTTGTTGCTTGCATTCTTACAATTTAGTATGATTTGATTGCTTATTTGTATCTATGACTATCATTAAGTATTGTACCTTATGATTCTTGACAAATGAATCTTTTTTTAATGTACATTGAGAGCATCTGCACCAAAGACAAATTCCTTGTTTGTCCAATCACACTTGGCCAATAAAGAATTCTATTCTATTCTATTCTATTGAAAATATTTACAGATGTACAGTTTTGCAAAGCCATATTTTTTCATGTACTGATTATTTATTTAGCAACAATAAATGATAAGAACTGAACTCTGAATAGCTTTTAGCTTAGTCAGGCTGGAATGTTCTGTTGTCTCTCTTGGCTTGAAACGAAACTCCGTGTACTTCATCTTCAACATTCCTAGGTTTATAACCTCCTGTAAGCCATCTACGGAATAATATATTTGAATGTGACCTTTTGGAATGACCTTGATTTTATATTCTAGGAAGCAGTTCGAGAGGGTTCTCCAGCAAACTGGAAAAGAAAAGAGAAATTGCCGCAGGTCACAAGATCTTGGCACAACTATATGTGTAATGTAAGTATTTGTCATCACATTAACTTAATTGGACATATAAGAAGTATATCCTGCAAATACATTGATTTCTGTAATGAATGGCTCCTTTAGGGAGGGAACTGCAGTATGACTCATGGTTCTGATGATTTAAATAGGATTCCTTTACCACATGCAATCTGTAACTTGCATTATTAGTAAATGTTGTAATGAATAATTATAAACACATTCTGGATTTTTGGGATAAAAGCAGGTCAGTGGGAAAGTAAAAAGGAAATTAATAACATGATATCATTTATAGATGATGTGGTGCGGTGGCTTAGAGGTGGAATCTTGCCTCACAATCAGGAGGCTATGAGTTCAATCCTAGGTAGAGGCAGATATTTTTCTCTCTGGGCACAATGAGAATTTGTTTGCTGAACAAAACTCTGCATTGGCAACAGGAAGGGCATCTGGCCATTAAATGCTCTGCTAGCTCCATTCAGTTGCCCAGACTCCACCCCACAAGGGATTATGGGATCCATTAAAAGAAGAAGGTTAACATCGCTTATAAGTAACAACTGTGGGCGCATAAATCAGTGTTGACATGGGTTCCAGAGGAGCTTGTCCTTTTCACTAGTCTTCACAAATTTAAGGGGATCCTGACATTACTTGATTCACTTTGCTCCCGTGGTGGGCCAACTTGTAAGTTAAAGTGATTTTTATCTGCAAATTCTACAAACATGTCCCAGCAACATGTAGGAGCATTTTTACTCTCACTTTCCCTCTGGATGGAATGGGTGAGTTTGAACAAAGCTAGTGGAGGGAGGTCAGTGGATGCCATAAGAACAGAGAAGAGAGTCTGCTTCACCACTGTTACCACTGTAGTGTGTTCCCAGGCCTAACTGCACACAGTCACTGGTAGCTTTGGTCTAGGTGTAGCTCATGGGATAGTTGGTTAATGGGTCTTTCCTCATAAGAGTTGACTTTTTCTTCCCTCTTATGAATTGACTCCTCGTAAGAATTGACCCTCTCAAAAGGTGACTCATAAGAGAGTTGGCTTGAAAAGTTGACTGAACTGGATTGCTTGATCCATGTGTCCTTTTGCTTCCTAGAGAATCTTATGTTTTGATTTCTGATGCTACAGATTTATTCCATCGTTTCTGCCCAGATAGGTTTTCTTAAAGAGAACTAGCATTTTTTTTTGGGGGGGGGGGGGTTGAGCTTTCTAGCATTAGAAAGAACAATTTAGGCTGTCAAGCCCACTGTTCTTCTGAGTTCAGGAATTTAGCCTCAAGCAGATCTCTGAATAAGTGCAGGGAAATAGAGCTCTTTGGATATCATTTCATTGTGGATACTTGGTGATACAAAATATTACCTGGCTGCTCCTACTTGGATTTCCAAATATAATAGGGATATTGAGAACGTGGTGTCCATGTTATCTAAATTGGACCTTTGCTTTACCTTTATTTTAAAATATACACACATACTGTATATATAGCAGTATATGTATCAGAAATCCTTGTGTGAAAATATCTTTTCTCCTCCCACAGTGTGTTATTCAGGATTTTCAAGCTTCTGTCCTACAAGTTTCTGATTCAGCTTATGACGAGCAGTAAGTCTTTCTTAATTTATGGGAATGTTATGATGGCTCATAATGGCCATGGTGGCTCAGTAGCTAAGATGCTGAGTGTCAATCAGAAAGGTCAGCAGCTTGAATCCCTAGCGCCATATAACGGAGTGAGCTCCCATTACTTGTCCCAGCTTCTGCCAACCTAGCAGTTCGTAAGCACGTAAAAATGCAAGTAGAAAAATAGGGACCACCTTTGGTGGGAAGGGAGCAGCGTTCCGTGCAGCGTTCCGTGCACCTTTGGCTTTTAGTCATGCCGGCCACATGATCACAGACACTCTTCGGCTTTGAAAGGGAGATTAGCACCGACCCCTAGAGTTGGGAACGACTAGCACATATGTGTGAGGGGAACCTTTACCTTTAATTCATGTGAACTTCTGTGTTGACAAGGGCATATGGGATATTTGTTCAAACATCTGGAAAATATTGAGTTTCCAAGAGAAAACTCTTCCACTGTTGTTAAAGAGCCGAGGTGGCGCAGTGGTTAGAGTGCAGTACTTCAGCTGACTGTTAGCTGCAGTTCAGCGGTTCAAATCTCACCGGCTCAGGGTTGNCCTCTTCTAACCGGTTCGGTAGATTTGATGAACCGGTTCTACCGAATAGGTGCGAACTGGTAGGAACCCACCTCTGATGAGATGCGAAACATCTTCAAAAGGGGAAAAAAACCCAAGAAAATTCAATTCCCTCCTGAAAAAAAAGCACCTTTGCGACAACCATGACCTGGATGACTGAGAATCTCCACAGAATATTTTGCTGTTGGAAGTGCGTTGCAGCACAATAAGGTTAATGCCCTTTGGATTTTTGCAACGGTTTTTGATATAAATATCTCGCTGCTGTAAAATGGGGAATGACTCAGGTCCCAATGAAGCCCAGGTGTTTGGCTAAATGTAAAAAAACAACAGTCCAAAGTGGTCCTAAGGAAGTGCAGCGAAATGAAGTCTGCGAGTTCCCAGTAATGACGTCAGCAAACCTTCTTAGTGTTTTCCACTTCTTGAATAGCAGAGAGCTAATGAGATAGAGCTGACTGATTTTTGCTTTTTATTGTGTCTTGGTGGAACAATCTCTCTCCCTCTCTCTCTCTTAAATGTGATGCTTATGAATTGATTCAATATGTGGTAAAAGGAGTAAACAGACACACACAAAAAAGGGAGGGGGGAAAGTGAAATAGACCTGAGCTGGCCACAAGGAATCATCATCCAGCAATCCTTAAAATGGAGAGTTAAGTTTTAAATCATCCCCTCTTTTATTTTATTTTTTTACATTTTTGAACAGGCAGCACCATCAGAATGCTTTTCCAGACTCTTGAGGGTTGCATTCAGCTTTGCTGGGTCACAAAATGGTGAGCTTCAATTAAATTCGAACGCACTCGTTTGTTGCAATGGGAATGAATGTCTTAAGTCTGCTAATGATGTTTGAGTCTGTTCTTCTCCCCCGAGGCTGGTTTCAGCAAATGCTCTCCGTCTATATCCCAACTTGGAAGGAAGGAGGAAAAAGAACTTCTTTGTTTATGCAAGCATCCAACCTCCCCCCCCACCCCAAATCTATCATAAACACCTTATTTGGGTTAACTGAGATAGCACCAAAAAGGGGGGATACAAATCTAGGAGTTCTCCAGAGGCGTCAGGATTCTTGGAAAAAATATCCATCTGGTTCAGTTCCAAGCTGGGAGAAAAACACTGAAAACATGGAGGCTGACTGGAAAAATGGTTTAAAGATGAAGCGGAACCACATGTGACTCTGGGCAGCTGACAAAATTGAGTTGAGGGTGAAGGGTTTTTATACCTTGTTTGGTCTTTGCACTTGAACTTCCTGTTCCTGTGCAAGAACATGTATACTATTGGCTGTTGTCAGATTCCTTTGGAGTCATGTAGGGGTCATAGCTGGCTCTATAGGCAAAAGAGGAAATTCAAAGCCTAGGTGTTTGTCTGAGCTAAGTTTGGTTGAAGTTTCTGAGGGTGATGCAATGTCCATAGGAGATTGTGCAATGTAGTGAGATCTAATGCTAAATGGTAGTGGGTTAATCCTATTATGTCCTGATGTCATGTCTTAATCCCTGGAGTTGAAGGTCTTTTGTTTTGTAGATAGGGTGGCCCAGTCTTTCTTAATGAGGGGCCGGCAGTTTCTGTCTCTCTTAATATTTTATATTTCTCTTTTAGGGGAAATATTTTATCTTGCTTTTTAAAATATGTCTCAAAATATTTAATTCTTCCAGGGGGGGTGGGGTTGGTGGCTTCCCACAGGATGGATGGGGAAGGAGATCCAAAAATTAGACTGATGCTTAACCAGCTCTAAATCACTAGTGCAACCAATTAAAGACCTCCAAAGCATCCTAAATAAGCCAAAAGACCCCGCAGCCCCAGAAGAAAAAAACAGGAATCATCTACAACAAAGAGCGTGAAGACTGAAACAGCCGCTACATAGAAAAAAAGCAGGCAGAAGACCAGCAGAACGCATACATGAACACCAACTAGAAGTCAGAAGACATGATGGAAACTTAATTTCACAACACATGGATAGATTTAACTATAGTTTCAACCGGGAAACTGTGACCGTCCTAAATCAAGCCAAGTCCAAAAAGTCTAGAGACTTTCTGGAAGTCTCAAACCAGCCATCAATAAGCACATAGACCTAAACAACATCTACACAGCTCTGCTAGAGAGAAATTCCTTAAGGATGGGCTCCAGCACGAGTTCGAAAGCTCAGAAAACTAAACTTCTGCTCTCAGTGACTCACCCAGGTTGGATCCTGCAACATTATCCTTTGCCTTCATTCATAACATCTATATACCATATTTTTTGGACTATAAGCCACACCAGAGTATAAGACACACCTAGCTTTTTGGGGGGGGCGGAGGACAAGAAAATCTGCCTCTGCCTTCCAGCAATTTGCCTCCTTGCAGCAAACAACAAACAGCCTGGTCAGTTTCAGCACAGCTTGATTTAGCACGAACAGCTGATTGGTGGTTTGGATCAGTCTCCCAGAATACTGATGATCAGCTGTTCCAAGCTGCGGGGATCATCGCCTGGAACGGGTCAAAAACAGGACATGTGGAGGCCGAAAATGGGGTGCACCGAGGTGGTGATAGGTGGTGGTGGCGATCCCTGCAGCCTGGAAGAGTTGATCATTGGTATTGCAGGAGGCCGATCCAACAGCCAATTAGCTGCTTGTGCTAAATCAGGCTGTGTTGAAGTTGACCAGGCTGTTTGCTGTTTGCTGCAAGGAGGCAAATTGTTGGGAGGCAGAGGCCGTGTTGCAATACTTTCAGGGGAGGGCTTATTTTAGCGCATGCGCTCAAAAGCCCGAATTGGGCTTATTATGAGGTGAGGTCTTATTTTGAGGGAAACAGAGTATGAATCTCTAATCATTCATATTTACATTGATGTCACCACTGTTTATCATTATTCCTAAAATGAATACACATGTCCTTGAAAAGAATAGCAAAAATACAGTAAAAGCAATATTAAATTTGTGATGGCTTCCCATTGTATCAGACTGGTGAGTACTTCAAAATATTTGTAAACATTAAAATTGCTTCTGGTTACTATTTTGACATACTCTAATTATCTGAGTTTGTCTGGTTTGACATGTAATACATAAAAAGTCCTTGTTGCTTATATTTAGTCAAATTTCTGTTCTGAATGTACAGAGTTAATTTTGCTATTGCTGTACAGTCTATTCCTTGAGTTTGCTTCCCAGTGTGATATTGTTGGCAAAGCATCTTTTTTCCAACTTTGAACCAACTTTGTCCTCAAAACTGTCAGTGTGTATCTTAATAAATTATGATCTTTTAACATTTATTTCTTCTGGAAGGATTCCTAGTAGAAAAAAATTCATTGTAAGCTCTGCTTTCCCGTTTTCCTTTTCTTTTTTCTTCTCTTTTTGGAATAATTCTGGTCATTTCTTCCCAGGACATTTGAATCATTTATTTTCAATTTCTTAAAGCAAAAGGGTAGCCGGGGTATTCACGCATCAAAATGGTGGCTACATATATACCTGAAATCCCACCCCTTTTTATGAATGGTGCATGTGAGGCGGGGCTTCAATCACATGGCTGTGGCTAGGATCTTGAGTCCCCCCCTAACTCCCTGTGGATATTCTTGATGGTAAATATCATTTTCCAAAGATCATGGGAAGTATTTTTAATCTCAAGGAAGAGAACTGACTAGAAATACTCTTCCTTTAAATAGCAGAGCAAATGCATGTAAAATCTGCAATGTACTATTTCATTGTAGTTTTGAATAGAATAGAATAGAATAAGAGTAGAGTAGAATGTAGAATAGAATAGAAAAATAGAATAGAATAAGAATAGAGTGGAGTAGAATAGAATAGAATAGAATAACAATAAAATAAGAATAGAGTAGAGTAGAATAGAATAGAATAAAATAGTGACCAACACTTCTTAGCCCATTTGCAAATCGGACAGAATTCTACAAGCGTCTTCATTTGACAGATAAAGATCTCAAGGGAATACTTATTATTGCAAAGTTTCAGAGGTGGTATTCAGCAGGTTCTGACCAGTTCTGGCAAACTGGTAGCGGACATTTTGAATAGTTCAGACAACTGGTAAACACCACCTCTGACTGGCCTCGCCCCCATCTATTCTCTGCCTCCCGAGTCCCAGATGATTGGGAGGAAATGGAGATTTTACAGTATCCTTCCCCTGCCACGCCCACCAAGCCACCCCCACCAAGCCATGCCATGCCCACCAAGCCACGCCCACAGAACCAGTAGCAAAAAATTTTGAATCCCACCACTGCAAAGTTTGTATTTGTTGCCGGGAAAACTAAGCATGAGTAGAGGCTCTCTTGTGTGCTATGTTGTGATTGTTACATGCTGTACTTTTTAAAAATTCAGGATGGTTCTGTGACCCAGAATAAAGTTTGATTGTTTAATTGCAGGAGGATTGTGGCAGTAAAATTTGAGGTATTCTTTCTGTGCATGGGTACGCATCCCGTGTTCATTCACCTAAAAGTTCATTTGCTTAGCATAAGCTTGAGTAGAGTCAATTGAAGTTAGACTAGAGCCGAGGTGGCGCAGTGGTTAAATGCAGCCCTGCAGGCTACTTTAGCTGACTGCAGTTCTGCAGTTCGGCTGTTCGAATCTCACTGGCTCAGGGTTGACTCAGCCTTCCATCCTTCCGAGGTGGGTAAAATGAGGACCCGGATTGTTGTTGGGGGCAATATGCTGACTCTGTAAACCNCCTATGAAGCGGTATATAAGTCTAACTGCTATTGCTATTGCTATTTAAATTGCTGTTTCTGAGATTTGTTGAAAAGTAATTTCTTTTATAAAAACAGGAAAAGAAATGATTATTCACTGAATATCATCTGAAAATGTCTGATTTTCATCTCCAGGGTGGCTGCGCAAATGCCAACTGTACACTATGAGTTCCCCAATGGCTACAATTGTGATTTTGGTGCTGAGCGGTTAAAAATTCCCGAAGGCTTGTTTGACCCTTCAAATGTAAAGGTAAAACTAAGCAAGACAGAATGGCAATGGATCCTTTGTATATCTATGTTCAATGGCAGTTTTATGGAAACAGGTGGAAAATCTAGACCCTTAGTTTTGTGGATTAGAAAGAAAGGCACTGTGTTTTGTGTTTCAATGACATCTGATGTTGAGGCTCTTATTCTGTATTACAGTAAATTTATTTACCAAGATATTGCAGTTCAGACCGTTTTTTTCTGTTAGAGATTTTAATTCTCCATCATGGGTAGTTCTCGAGTTACATCTATAATGGAGCCTGTTGACAATCATGATGGTCGTAAATCGGATCTGAGTTTATGATCTTTTTTTTGCGTTGCTTGTAAAGTGACTACCATGGTCATGAATTATTGTTCTGGTCATTAAGTAAACCCATGGTTTTCTGTGCGCCAGATTTGCTGAAAACCAGAAGTATATGCTAGATTTCAGCAAAACATTGTAAAATGTTTAGTACATGAAGTATTAAAGTAATTTAGTTATAAAGTATGTCATAACAAGGAGAAATGAGAGATTCTGTGCTGCATGTATTTTTTTTTTCTACTTACTAGAATTATCAGATGGAGCTTCCCATTTCATGATTATTATTTTTTCTAGATGATTTGGGCCATCTTTGGGGAAAAAAGAAGACTCAAAGTGTTCTTACTAATTCTGTCTCTGATGTGATCGAAACTAATGCCAGGCATTCTTTCTCTTTACTAGGGCTTATCTGGCAATACAATGCTTGGTGTGAGTCATGTGGTCACCACTAGTGTTGGAATGTGCGATATAGACATTCGGCCGGTAGGTATTAATTAGGCACAATGGGACCTTTATTTATTTTTGATTAAAATTGGAAATGGAAGCAAGAACTATGCTGTGATGCAGAAATCTGCACTGTTCAGAGCTACCTGAAAGCCAGTTGTATTTTTACATTTGATCTTTGGCAAAAGGCTAAGAGGCAATATACTTCAGTTGTATTTTTCGGATAAGCTCACAGGTAGCTCAAAGGCTGCAGATTGGATAACGATGGTTCAATTCTTGTGTCAGTGATAGCAATAGGAATAGCACTGGCACTTAGACTTATACAGCAATAGCACTTTGACTTATATACTACTTCACAGTGCTTTACAGCCTTCTCTAATAGCAATAGCACTTAGACTTATATACCACTTCACAGTTCTTTATAGCCCTCTCTAATAGCAATAGCACTTAGACTTATATACCACTTCACAGTGCTTTACAGCCCTCTCTAAGCGGTTTATAGAGTCAGCCTCTTGCTCCCAACAATCCGGTTCCTCATTTTACCCACCTCGGAAGGATGGAAGGCTAAGTCAACCTCGAGCCTGGTGAGATTCGATCTGTCAAACTGCTGGCAGCCGGTGGTGAGCAGAAGTAGCTTGCAGTACTTCACTCTAACCACTATGTCAGAAGGATGGAAGGCTGAGTCAACCTTGAACCCTGGTGAGATTCGAACTGCCAAATTGCAGGCAGCCAGCAGTCAGCAGAAGTAGCTTGCAGTACTTCACTCTAACCACTATGTCAGAAGGATGGAAGGCTGAGTCAACCTTGAACCTGTCAGGATCGAACTCCGGGCAGTGGGCAGTGCTAGCCTGTAATACTGCATTCTAACCACTGCACCACCACGGCTTTGATGACCACAGGCTTGTTGAATACTTTTAGCTAAACCCTGAGAAGAATTAGGTCAAATTCCATAATTTTCCTTTATGTATGGCTGTAAGCTGTTGATAAAGAGTTTATAAAGAGAAGAAGGGGCAAGCAAAGAATACACAGGCTCGATAACATTAAAACTGATACAAAGGCGAACATCAAATAACTTAAAGAAACTGTGCCAAGGAAATTGCAGGGTCTTGCCCAGGCACTCTCTGAGAATTAGACACGATTGAACAGAAGAAAACAACAACAACAACACTGAGATTGCACTGTAAATATTTGTGAGACCAGAAGCATGACCACAAGAGCTTGATTTCAGGAAATCCAGTCTGGCATCTGTTTGCAGAGTTGGGCTGTTTTAGTTTTTAAGAACAGATTCCACAGTTGTGCCTCAAATTATGCAAACTTGATGAAGAATCCATATTGTGTTGCTTGTTTACTGCTTAGTATGGGATTTTAAATGTTCTTTATATTGTAGAAGAGGTTTATTAAAAAGAGGAAGGATATATCCTCTTTTTTGCACGAGAACTACTCCCAAGTTTTACATTTGTTCGTGGAAATGTGTTTTTACCTTCTTGCCTAATAAGTGATACATGAGGATGTGATTTGCTTTCAAATTCTGTGTAGGCTTATGCAGTCTTTTCTCTCTTATCAAAAAGCAGATTACAGAAAGTTATGTGTTTCACTTTCCTTTTCCAGGGCCTCTATGGTAGTGTGATTGTAGCAGGAGGAAATACACTACTACAGAGTTTTACAGACCGGCTCAATAGAGAACTCTCTCAGAAAACACCTCCAGTAAGTGTGTGTCATTTAATAAGTACAGACTCCTTGGTCAATGTTGATTTACTATATAATTGAGAGTTTATGAAGTTCTAGAAAACCTTCTCATTGGCCAGTAATCTCCAGATGAGGTGGTACTATAAATCCTCGAATGATAAGGGATTCTGGGATGTGTAGTCCCAACATCTGAGATGCACTTACTGTGGAAAGAACTTCACCATTTTTCTTTCCCTAATAGTTTATGACAGGAGTGGCTAGTGTTAGTTGGCCAGTGTAAGATTCAGGGATGTGGAATGGGATTAAGGTTTTCCAGGCATAGCCTGATGTGTGGTTACTTCCTGCCCCTTCCTGGGTTTTAAAAAATGCCGCCAAAATTCACAGTAAAATGCACAATTGCATTTATTTGAGGTTAGAAATAAGATGGGGTGGGGGAACACCCATGCATGCGCGGGGATGGGGTGAACACGGGTCACACGCATATGCATGGGGAGTCACGCACATTGCATTATGGGTGCATGCGTGTGCATGTGCTGATGCACACACGCTTTTAGCACACAATGACAAAAAGGTTAGCCATTACTGGTATAGCACATCTGAAAAGGTTTTGCTAATTCAATTTCTGGGATGCAACCTTTGGGTATTAAGGCTCAAATACTCAGGCTGTCCTTTCTAAGATAAAGCAATAATCTTGGTTGAATTATCGAGGTATGATTTGAAGTGTCCTGGCCATTGTATTCCACAATGCAGAACATAAGCAAATATTGCCAGTTGTCATTTGGGACACCCAAACACCATTAATTTCTCTTCTGATTTCAGAGCATGAGGTTGAAGTTAATAGCAAACAACACAACGGTGGAGCGAAGGTTTAGTTCCTGGATTGGTGGCTCCATTTTGGCTTCTTTGGTTAGTAAACTATTCTGGCTGCTGATAGTTCCTAAAAAGATGGCCTAACAGGAGGGTATATGATTGAGAGAAAAAGGTGAAAAAGCATCGGATTTTGTATGTACAAATAGTCCTTGCATCATGACTGGTCACTTAGTGACTGTTTGAGGTTAAAACGGAGTTCCCCAGGGCTATTGATGAGCTGAATTCAAAGTTATGCCAGCTGCGGCCTTGTAATCACACGATTGCATTTTGAGCACTTGGCAGCATTTACACCCATTTGCAGCATCCAGGAGTCACATGACTGATTTCTTGTTGTTTTGCTGGAAACGCAAGTTTATGACAAAAAATCCCCATTGTGGACAATGGATTTGCTTAACGACTGTTGCAAAAAAGGCAGTGAAAAGTGGGCGTGGTAACCGTCTTAATCATTGGCAAGATTAACAGTTGTAATTCTGGGCTCAATTACAGTTGTAAATTGAGGAATATCTGTAATAATGGAATGGGGTTGGGCAGCAGGCCTGAGGCCAGCAGGGAACCTGAAGGGCAGGTAGCAGAGCAAGGGGTGCCTTGGGGATGGGACAGGCTTTGATCCCCCACCCAAAGCACCCTGTGCTCCATTTAATGACCACATCTGGAAGAGCAAAGGTGGAATCATTGAGTGACTGACTGCATCAGGGAGAGCTGAGGTTGGGTCGTTAAACGAGGCAATCCCATGAGCCCCTTGCTTAACAACTGTTACAACCGGGTTTCATAATGGGCAGGCTCCATTATGGTCGTGAAGTCGAGGGCTACCTGTACAATCCAAAGTAGGCATGGAGAAGGATGAAAGCAAGGAGATGCTGCAGTAAAGTTGGGGGAACTTAAGGGGAGCTGAGAAAGCAAGGACCCCTGTGTAATGTCATAAGGCAGGTTGTGCATAACTTGGTTTCTGTGTGCCACAAATACCTATTGTGAGATGGTTATGTTTTTGATTTTTGTTTTGTAGGGTACCTTCCAGCAAATGTGGATTTCTAAGCAGGAGTACGAAGAAGGGGGAAAGCAGTGTGTAGAAAGGAAGTGCCCATAAACCCCGCGACTTTAAGAACCTGCCTTCCTCTTGCTTCTAATTTTTTTATAGCTTTAGTATACTCAGGAATTGAAACTTTGTCTCTTCTGTAGGAACTTTTTGTGCATCCTGATTTTGCAGTTTTTTTTTTTTAAAAAAATCCTAATATTTGAAAAGGCCAAACCTGTCCTGTTTCGCAGCACATGGATGCGTTCATCCATTTTAAATGCAATAACTTTTATACAAACTTTAAAAATAATAATTTTGTATAAATATCTATTTTCTGCAAAAGAAATTCTCCCGGAGACTGATCTATAAATTATGGTTGTAATTTCTTGCCTTTGGATAAAGATGGAAAAGAAAAAAGAAGCGTATATGCCTACAGATTAGTCTTCCTTGTGCTAGCATCAATAAATTTCTCTAGTTTGGCTTTCAGGCTCCTTTATTTTACATCGTATATTCAAGTAAAGGTTTTGGGGTTGTTGTTTTTACACCTGGAGGTTGTTTGCATATTTCTATTACATTTTCTATATATGGAAGGTGTTCTGACCCCCCCTTCTCCGTCCAGGAATGAAAGCCAAAAGCCACGTAACTAAAAAGGTTTCTTTTAATCAGGCCAAGCTCTTGTT